AGAGGGGGGTGGAGGGGGTGACACGGCCGGCATCGCGAGGGGCTTTCTCTGAAGGATGCTAATATCTCGCTGCCCCCATCACACGCCACTCTGGAAACGGAGCCGAGCCGCTCTATTGTGTTATCATTCATTCATTCATGAGGAAACATCCCTGGCGCGCCGCGCCCGTGCCGCAGAGGGCCTCGCGCTGCTAGGGCCCCCTGCTCGGCCTGGGCGCAGGGCCCAGAGTTATTACTCGTGGTGCAGAGTGAAAACGCTGATGGAGTGGTTGAAAAAACACAACAACAAACAACCGGAATGACAACTGTCGAATAAATGTTTTGATTTTCATGCGTTTCTCTTCCCGTTTGTGTGACGACAGAACCTGACGCAGCTGGACGTGAGCGAGAACGCCATCGAGGTGCTGGACCTGAGCGCGCTGAGCAAGCTCCAGACGCTGCAGTGCTCCAGGAACAGCCTCCGGGAGCTCACCGTCAACGGCAGGCACCTCACCTCCCTCATCGCCGGCAACAACCGTAAGCAGCACGTCTATCGTACCCGAGGGATACTTCATTCAAAAAAGTGTACACCGTCCAAAAAAAATATTCAGAAATACAACAATTACAAATATTCAGAAAAGTCAAAATACAGCATGAAAATCAGTTTCTGTTTGAATTTATTGCAAAGTATCCCTCGATCGGCCCCACGACGGGTGACAACAGTGACGCCCACTAACGCCATGTTTCTTTCAGAGCTGCGGACCCTGAGTGCCTCGCCGACGCCGCTGCAGCTGGAGCACCTGGACGTGTCGTAGTGAGTACACGAGAGCATGGTGCCACTGCACTGGGTGGTGGAGAGGTCATGTCCTTGTGCTGACGCTGCCCTTTCCTCTTTCTCCGCCGCGACACAGTAACCGACTGGCCACGCTGCCCGGCTGGGTGGGCGGCTGCTCGCGCCTGCGCGCCCTCTTCGCGTCCCACAACGAGCTGACGGCCGCGCCGCAGCAGCTGCTGAGCGGCCAGCTGCCCAACCTGCACACCCTGCAGCTGTCCTACAACGAGCTGCAGCAGCTGCCCGCCGTCAGCAGCCGCCTCCCGCTCGCGCTCCACCACTTGTTCCTGCAGAGCAATCGCCTGGCCGCGCTGCCATGCAACCTCTTCACCGTCGCCACCAGGTAAACATTCCAAAACTCTACTCCATGAAAACACTACATCGTCAAGTCGAAACCAGGACATTGTGCTGCTAATCCAATTGGCGGTGACTGTTCCATAATCTAGTGAACAATGAACTTCTCCATCTTATTATGTCAAAGTAAGGACTAATGTTTTTATCTCTCAATTTAAAAAGAAAATTAGGTGATTTTTTAAACTTAATTTTAAATTTGGTTTCGTCCCGGTGGTCTAATTGCGCTATAAGTCATGCGGTCCGTTCGATTAGGGATCATCTAGAGAAACTATGTCCGAACTACGTCCGTCATTTGCAGTTACGAAAGTGCCAAGAGCAAATATGGAAGGTCTCAGGGCGCCTGATGGGTAGGCCATATCTCGCCTGCAGTGCATACGTGTACTGCAGGGTGGCCTACCCTGAGTTTCACAGGCGCTGGGCTCCTGTCATTTGCCGAATGAATCTGTGCAAAGCGGATGTTATCTCTGGGCTATCGCTTGGTAGAGCTTTGGGCGGTGCGGCCGAGGGGGGTGGGGTGGGGGGTCTCTCTAAAGCCCCTGCGGGGTCGGCAGGCCCGGTGCGTACAGTACATCTGTCGCCCGGGCTGTCCTACCCGGAGGCTGACGGCACTGACGCCCTCGTTCCTATCATTTCGCGTGCTGCTCCATAGGTTACGCGTCCTCAACGTATCCAACAACCGCCTGGAGGAGCTGCCGGCGCCGCCGCCCATGCACGACGCGGAGGGCGACCGGGGCAGCCCGCTGGACAAGCTGTACCTCACCGCCAACTGCCTCGGGGACGCGGCGCTGCGGTCGCTCGCCGCCTTTAGGAGGCTGCGGACGCTACACGCCGCCTACAACCACCTCTCCGTCCTGCCCGATAGGTAAAGGCATCCGCCAAAACAGTTTAACAGTTTCAAGAATTTCCAATTATTTAATGTTGTTCTTTGGCATTCGAAATGTGGTTCAAATATGGTTGCGTCGTATCACATCAAAGTTATACTCTTGACATGTGCCCACTTTCGTTTCAGCTGCGTGGCATCCTGGCCGGACCTGGAGGAGTTAGTGCTCTCCGGGAACACGCTGAGACACCTGCCGGAGAACATCGTGCAGCTGCGGCACCTGCGGGTGCTCCGGGTGCACTCGAACCAGCTCAGGAACAGCCCTTGCTTCTCGCGCATGACGTCGCTCAAGGTGAGTGGCACATAGTGTGAAATATGCGACGACGAGTAGTATTTTTCGGTAATGTTCTCAAGATTTTCTTCTTAATTTCTTTTTTTTCTGGGCTTTTTCAATTTTCCTGGAAATATAACATTTTCCCCCAATTTTTCGCGCCGCAGGTGCTGGACCTCTCGCACAACCAGCTGGACCGCGTGAGCCTGGCGACGCTGGCGCCGCCGCAGCTGCAGTTCCTGGACCTGTCGTGCAACTCACGGCTGCACGTCGACCCGCGCCAGTTCAGCGTGTACCGGTCGCAGCGGCAGGGCGGGCCCGGCTCCATCAGCCTGGTGGACGTCTCGGGGCTGAACCGCAGCTCGCTGCCCACCGCGCCGCCCGCGCGCCCGCCCACCACGCCCTGGGCCGTGGGCTTCTCGGAGACGCCAGGGCTGCGGGAGAGGTTAGTCGCAGTGCTGCACAAGAGGGGTGCTTCACTCGAAAAAAAATGAGTGTACATCCTCCAAAAATATCATAAAATTTCAAGAAAAATAGAATGGAAAAATCGGTGTACGCGCTGACACATACTACCTCCGTCCGCAGGCTCTACATCGCCCAGCTGCGGCTCCCGTCCTTCTGCAACTCGGAGGGCCTGTTCGGCCTGTTCGACGGCGGCGGCGAGGGCTCGCTGCCCGCCGCGCTGGTCCGCGCCGTGCCCCGCATCCTGGTGGAGGAGCGCGCCGTCACGGAGACGGCCGCCGACTACCTCAAGTACACGCTGCTGTCGGCGCACCGCGAGCTCCGCGAGCACGGCCAGAAGCAGGGGGCGTGCGCCACCCTGGTGCACGTGTGCCCCAGGGGGTCGCGCTACGTGCTGAGGGTGGCGAGCGTCGGCGAGGCCAAGGCCGTGCTCGCGCGCACCGACGGCCCGCTCACCCTCACCCGGGAGCAGCCCACCAACGCCAGCAGGCACCCCCTAGAGGTAGGTCACCTCCTACCCAGCAAAAAGTATTTTCAGGGAAACTTTCCAATATTTTTTGAATCTCATACTTTTTCCGGAAACATTGCATTTTTTCAAATGTTTATGGAACTTTTTATTGTTTTTACTTATTTTTTTGGAAATGTGTCGGAAATATTTCGGACCTTATAATCCTCTATTTGTTCCTTTCCAGAGCGCGGTGAGGTCGCAGCTCGGCTGCTCTGCGCTGTTCCCGCTCGTGCTGCCTGACCCGCACGTCGTGGAGCTGGAGCTGCGGGAGTCGGACGACTTCCTGGTGGTGGCGAACCAGCGCCTCTGGGAGGTGGTCTCCGAGAGGGAGGCCATGCAGGAGGTGCGCGCCGCGTCGTCGCCGCTGCTCGCCGCCAAGCGCCTCCAGGACATGGCGCAGAGCTACGGCTGCGAGGACAACATCAGCGTGGTGGTGCTGCGCCTGGGCGCGCTCGCCCTCCCCACCCAGGTCCCTGCCGTGAGTACTGACGTTATAAACGGAACACCGGAAACATTTCGTACTAGTACATAGTTAAACGGGGAGTTTCTAATCTCGACCTGTCGCGCCGCAGGAGATGGCCGCCGAGGACGTGAACATCCTCCCGCCGGTGTCGGCGTCGTGCTCGTGCTGCGCGCCGTGCTGCCGCTGCCGCCACGACCGGTCCTCGCCGTCGGGCCAGAGCGACCAGGCGAGCTGCGAGTCGAGGGCCCCGGCCCTGGCCCTGCACGCCGCCCCACAGCCCGCGCCCCGCCGCCCCATGCTCAACGGCGTCCTCGGCGGCGTCAACGGCGTCCTCAACGGCAGCTCGGCGGGCACGATGTACAAGGCGACCCGGTGCCGCGTGGACAACGTGTACCGGGGCGGCGGCTCGGGCGGCTCGGGCTGCTCCGACTCTGGCGGCGACACGAGCTGCGGCTCGGGGACGGGCTCCGACCGCTCGCACCTCAGCGAGGAGCAGTTCCGCTGCTGGGAGTACATGCTGGAGCAGAACACGCAGCTGCTGTTCGACAAGGAGCTGGACACGCTGTCGCGCGCCTTCACGCGCCGCCCCGTGCCGCGCGGCCACGCGCTGAGCCAGGCGCTGGGCATGGGCCGGGCGCTGTCGTCGTCCTCGCCGCACCTCGCGCACGCCGGCGGTGCGGGCCCCGGGGTGGGTCCGGGAGGGCCGGGCGCCCCCGTGGCGCCGCACCCCGCCGCCGTCCCGACACCCACGCCGCCCTTCCTGTCCAGGCACTTCGGCTCGGCCAGGTCGCTGTCGTGCACCCCGACAGCGCGCCGCCTCGGCCTGGGCGTCGGCGGGCTGGGCGGCCTGCACGCGGGCGTCGGCGGCCTCGGCTCGTCCAGGCAGCTGCTGCACACGGGGCCCAACGCCGCCTACTTCGGCTCGCTGCAGCGCCTCATGCCCTACAACCTCGAGTACGACTTCGACGTGATCCACGAGCGGGCCGAGAACGGCCACAGCATGAGCGGCTCCCTCATCGACCAGCGGGCGGACCAGGACTCCCTCGAGCAGGACGGCAGGATGCGCAAGTACTGGGACGTGGCGACCACGGAGCTGTGACACTTGCATCGCGAGCTCACGTGATGATTGCGATTAGAATGCGGTCGCGGTTGTCGCTAGGTGAACTCATCCTGTGTCACCTGACTTTCCGAGTTGTGATTTACAAAGTTATCCCATATATGTAACTTTTAAGAATGCCTGTAAGTCCCTAATTGTATATTTATGTGTACGAGCCGGAGTCATGCCCGGTGAGAAATGTTATGTCGAAGCGATATGGAAACGATGTCGACACGATCGAAGTGATATAGACACGATGTCGTGTCGACATCGTTTTGACGGTCGTTTTCCCACTGGCGAGATGTAAATAAGTTTAAAATGTAAACTGAATGTAAAAATTACAAACGTTTTGTGAGCTGTTGACGTAAGAAAGTTCTTGTTACTGCGTGTTACACTACACTAAGCATAACGCCCCTGTTTGTAGCTACACAGCTTTAGCGAACTTGCAATTTGCAACAAGATTTATGGTCAGTCATGAGGAACTACTGTGTTTGTGGCAGGCTTGCAGATTCTTTACCACTGACCTGTGATTAATTGTACTTTGGTGAGCCCCAACTATCAACCAAACTTTCTTCTTCAATTCTAAATATTGAAATGCTCTCTATTAATCTCAATTTTCCACAGCTTCGCTGTATGATTACTCGGTAAGCAAAGGTAAGCAAACCTGCACAACTTCCCTAAATACTTTGGGAATGAAACACACATGCTCAAAAATAAATTAAGATTTTAATATCCACCCCATGTCACGTCACATACAGACAGCGCAGTTGGAATAAAAATATCACAAATGAAGAAATTGCACAGCATTTTCGATTAAAATAAAAATAAAACAACTTACATAATGAAAGAAAACAAAATAAATACCAGTAAACTTTTCAACAATCTTTGTGAACAGATTAGAATTCATGGGCTCTAAAATTAAGAGAGAAATTTAAAGTATTAGATTAGTTAACCAATCTACAACAACGAAAAAACCAAACAAAAAAACAACAAACTAAAAGACAACAAGCAGTTTCTTGTGTAGATCCGCTTAGGTCTGCTCGCTGTGCTGAGAGCGTATGTGCTTCTTAAGCGCACCGCTCTCCCTGAACGCGGACCCGCAGGTACCGCAGGTGTGAGGCTTCTCCCCCGTGTGGATGAGCATGTGCCTTCGGAGGTCGTGGTTCCTCGTGAACGTCCCCCCGCAGGTGCTGCAGCTGTAGAGCTTCTCCCCCGTGTGGATGCGCATGTGCTTCGAGAGGTCGCTCTTCCTCGTGAACGTTCCCCCGCAGGTTTCGCAGCTGTAAGGCTTCTCCCCCGTGTCGGTGCGCATGTGTTTTGAGAGGTCGGTGCTCACAAGGAAGGAGGTCCCGCAGGTACCGCTGCTGTAGGGATTCTGCTCCGTGTGGGTGAGCATGTGCCTCTGGAGGGAGCTGCTCGACACGAACGCTTCCCCGCAGGTACCGCAGCTGTGGGCCTTTCCCCCCGTGTGTGTGCGAATGTGGGCCTTGAGGTCGTTGCTCACACGGAAGGCAACCCCGCAGGTGCTGCAGCTGTATGAATTCTCCGCCTTGTGGATGAGCAAGTGTGTCGACAGGTTGGTACTCGCCGCGAAGGCGGCCCCACAGGTGCTGCAGCTGTAGGGCTTCTCTCCCGTGTGGGTGCGCATGTGGACGTGGAGGTTGTTGCTCTGCGTGAAGGCGGCCCCACAGGTGCCGCAGCTGTAGGGCTTCTCCCCCGTGTGAATGCGCATGTGCTTCCGGAGATCGGAGTTCTGCTTGAAGGCAGACCCGCAGGTGCCGCAGCTGAATGGCCTCTCCCCCGTGTGGATGCGCATGTGGCACTTGAGGTCTCTGCTCCTGAACGCAGCACCGCACACACCACAGAGAGTCCACTTCCCGCTGGCCTCCTCAGTGCGCCGCTGGACTTGGTCTTCCCCCACAGCCGCCGCCGCGCTGATGCCCCCTCCCCCTGGAGCTCCGGGAGCGCCGCACGCTTGACGCCGTTTGATCTCGGCGGAACAGTGACCCGAACGCTGGTGCTGGGCCAGCAGTAGTGGGCTCACGAAGCATACCCCGCACTGCCGCTCGCAGGGGAAGGTTCCGGCTAGGGGAGAGAAAGAGAGAAGTGTTAACAGTGTGCGATTACAAGCGTGCGGCGGGTGACAACCTGACGGTACTCACTGAGGGCGCGCGCGTCCGTGGCGGGCTCCCTGTACGTCGCGGGGTCGATGCCCAGGTCCCGGCCGTACGAGTCGCCGTACCACACGAGCAGCTCGGTGTTGGGGAGGATGACGCACACCGTGCGGTAGTAAAGCTGGCCCTTGTGCTGGTAGGGGTGCAGGTTCTCCTCCCCCGAGTTCCTCGCGCAGTTGACGTAGCGCATCCAGTTGGAGCGGGCCACGTCGAGGGCGTCCACGCAGTGCACCGTCTTGCCCTCGCGGCGGATCTGGCAAAGGGATCGCAAATCAGTTAAAAGGAAAAGGCCGTTGTTGGCCGTGGCGGTCACAGAGAGCGCAATCCTCACCCCCCAGCCATAGCCCGTCTCCTTCTTCTTGGTGATGTCCCCGACGTAGGGGCCGAAGCGCACTCGGCGGGGGATGGCCTCCTTGGCCCAGACGCCCAGGCCGGCGCCGGGGATCTTACTGTCGAGCACGGCGAGGCAACTGGGCACGGTGTGCAGCGCTCGGTCGGGGCGGGCGTCGAGTACCTGGGGCAAAAGCGACGGGCTGGTATGGAGAGGCAGTGAGTAAAAAAGCGAAGGGAATGACTCCGAGGCCCCGAGTCGCCTCTGCACTTCCAAAAACACATGTGTCGCGTAGCACACCTCGGTGTCCGGGATGATATGGAGAGGCCCGTGTTCGGGACAATCGCCCTCCCACTCCTTGCCGCAGTCGTCGCAAACTGTGAGCGAGAAACAATAAGTAGAGTGTGACAATAATCATTGCGTATGATGCGCTGAGGGTACCTGATGAACACGAAACTCACACAAGAAGTCGTCGTCGTCAAGCGCGGGGCACTCAGCGTACACCTTCCCCCGGCTGCCGGTCCTCTTCGGGTAGCGAGGGGCTCCCTCAGCCTGGGTGGAGGTGGAGGGTCCTGGGGCAGGTCCTGGGTCTGAGAACACAGAAGAAGCTCGATGGTAAACTTCGGCATCCACTTCGTAGAGTGCTGTTGGCGCCAAGTCTGTGGTATATCTATCGTCTATACTTTACCTTGTTCAGGATCAGCCGTCGGCGGCTCGCTCGTCGCCGTTGATGCTGCCCGAGCCCGATTCACCTCTGGCAGAGAAGTGTTCTGTGGTGCGACGTTCTCCTTCCCACGCGCGGTTTTCTTCGGCGCTGACCTGCACAAAAAACAAATAATTAGAGGCGACAAAATTTGTTTGAACAGTATTAAGTCTACTCACCTCGCGACTTTTGGTGCCACAAACTTCTTGGCGCGACGAGAAGGGCGAGCACAGCTTACTGCCTGCACAAAATACAGACGTTACATTCTGATTAGGCCACCCTGAGTTTGCAACCTGACTGGACAGTTCAAGAACTACAGGAGACGCGCACGGGTACCTGATTTTCTTTCTCGGGGGACCAATCCAAATTTTTCTCGTCAAAGTCTTCCTCCTCGACACACTTAACCTTCTTCGCAGCCGGCTTCTTGGGCTTCTTCAATTTTGGCCCGCTCTTCATGAAATGGGGAGGTTTCGGGGAGAGGCCTGAAAACGAAGCGTAACGTGCTGCTTGAAAACCCAGAAAGAAAGGGCAATGTATAATCAACTTCCTGCTAAATCCAATAACTTTGAAAAAGTTTAGGACTACTTGTGTCACGTTCTGTAAAAAACAAACACAAAAAAGCACCTACCTGCCTGTTGCATAGCGAGAAAATTTCTTTTCGCACTCCTGTAGCTACTTTTCTCATAATTAGACATCTCACGCCAATCAGACGCTGAAAAGAATTCCTCGATATCTTCATATTCGCTATCCTCTGAACTCGACATTGTTAATCATTTACGTAGGCCTACTGAAATATGAACATCACTGTGAGTACGCGTTTCACGCGCCAACGGTCAACACCAACCGCCGATTTGGTCTACGGGCTCGTTCCAGAAAATTCAAATTTGAATGGTCGAAAAGCGCGACCGCACGGGGATCACTTTATCAAATCCCAACTGGAGCACACTGGCAAATGAGGACACCAAACGCACATATTCTTTTCAGAATCTTTATCATAAAACATGTGAAGCCATTAATTTAAAAATTGCGCTGCTTCAACTCTAACCCTACGGGAGGAAGGGGGGGAGGAAATGGAAGTCGTGACACCGGACCGGAAACGCGCCAAAAGCCAGAGGTCGACGGACGGACGGTTGGCGGTTGGTTAGTCTTACGGGAAAGAAGGGTGGAAGAAACAGCTGACTCGATATAATCCCAACCCTTTGGTTTCTCTGTAGAGGTAAGTACTGCCACGCTCGACTCAGCAGTTTGCTACTGGTACGAAGTTTATGATGGAACGTCGCAACTGATAGACTGGCTATGTTCTTGATTTGTATAAGAAAGTGTTGTGCTTCCACACAGAGAGAGACCTGATCGCCGTCTCTGTTTCAATTTCAAGGTTAGGACATCAGCTGATTTCGGAATTTTGTCGTGCACGCGCCTATAAGCGACGCCCCACGCCCCATCCTGAAAGGAACCTGCAGTGATGTTGACACGCCGAAAACGGGCAATGATGCTGCTGCAAGCTCCACCTGCTCCACCCATTGAGGAGGCCACAATCCAGGAAGTGGTAATACAAAGTTCACTTCTGCTCCTCTCAAAGAACTTAACTTTTCAAACTCAGATTATTGGAATCAATATGCACCCTTAACAATAACGCTCGTCGCACGAGCTCTGAAAGCGGCTGAAATTTCACGGATGTGTTCTTAGTGGGGACGCTGGGTGGAGGGACGCTCTGTATTTTTGCAGGGCTTTCCGCGCTTCGAGAGACTTAATTCGTGTGGCTCGGCCTCAACTTGTGCCCTGTGCTGTCCGCAGACGCTGCTGTCGCTGCCCGACGTGCCTCTGCTGCAGGTGCTCTCGCTGCTGCCCGTCAGGGACCTGGGCGCGGCGGGGCTGGCGAGCCCGCGCCTGGCCGCGCTCACCAGGACGCACGCGACGCTCTGGCGCGGCAAGGAGACGGCCGAGCTCTTCTACTTCGAGGACGTCGACGGGCTCCTGGACCTGCTGCGGGTCATGCCGCCCGTCCACAAGCTCAAGTTTGTCGTGCGCCGGTCCCCGATCGTCGTGGCACAGTTCGATAGCTTCACCAGGTAGGTAGCCGCGCGGCAACTCTTCAAGTCGTTCGGAGACTGTCTGCTGTGACCATCATAGACGCTATAATTGCTTTCCCCGCAGGTTTTCCAGGGCGAACGCCTTCACCACGCTGGCCCTGGAGGGCCCCGACACAGAGAGCTGCGCCGGCGTCGTCCGCGAGCTGAAGCCCCACCTGGAGTACCTAGAGGTCTCGGGGGTCGAGCGGGGAGTGGGGGTGCTGTTCCACAACTTGCTGGGGGCCCGCGCCCTGCGGACGCTGGAGGTGCGCTTCGAGTCCTACTTCTCCAAATGTGCCTTCAGGTGGCCGTGGGCGCCGGTGAGTGATCTACAGAACTCTTGTCAAAGTGGGTCCATAAGTCATCTTTTAGAGTCATCTTGACAGGACCCAAAATGTGCCCTTCTGTACGCAGGCTGTAGCGCTGCCGAGGCTGCGGACGGTGGCGCTGAAAAGCGAAGGCGAATACTTCGACGGCTCTCGCATACGCGGGCCTGACCCGAGCCTCCTCGACGCCCTGCGCTCCCTGCTCCGGGCCCACAGGTTACTCACTGACTGCTGTAGATCCCGAAGGGTACTTCACTAGAAATTCAAGTGTACACATATTTTTATTTATTGATTCTAATTGATTTTTCCTCAATATTTTGTCGTTTTCTCTGCCTTTCTCTGACTTTGTGGACCCTTTTTATT